CACTATTACTGGGTGGGGGGTCTCCTAAACCCTAAACCCCTAAAACCCTAAACCGGGGGTCCACCTAACCTAAACCCTAAACCCGCGCAAGGCCACGGAGGTGAGCGATGCGTCCACGGAGCCGCCAGATGCTTGCGAGTCCACGAGTGCAGGAGCTTGTTTAGGGTTTAGGAGTTTAGGGTTTAGGGTTGAGGGTACAGGGTTTAGGGTTTAGGGTCTGAAGTTTGAATGGATGCGGTTTAGCGGCTAGGGTTTAGGGTTTAGGATCTAGGGATTTTGATTCAGGGTTTACGATTTACGGTTTTGGGTTATGGTCTTGAAGGAAGAGTCCTTGGTTAAGGGGTACTGGGATCTCTGGGTTGGGAGTGGTGGGCTCTGGGGGAACTGGGGTTGAAGGCTTTCAGGGGTTTAGGGGTTTACATCCGGGAGGGGTTTAGGATTAAAGGCTGGTGGTCTGACGGTTGGGGGGTTGAGGGTTGAAAGCCTTTAGGATTCTAGCAGAGCAGGGTTGCAGACTTTAACCCTAAACCCTAAGATTCAGATGGCTCCCGGCTTTCGTGTAAAGGGGTTACAGCTGACTGCGATCTTCCAGGTTGGCCGACACAGCGTGTGGTGTGATTCACAGAGGCTGGCTTGGGTTTATGGTTTTATCCTTAACTTCTATAATATTGGCTTCGCAAGAATGTGAGATGATAATTTGTACCGTGGCTCCGGGGCAGGAAAGGGGACCACATGGTTGACCTTGTCAGAGTTTACCCTAAACCCGAAACGCTAAACCCTAAACCCCTATGGTTGACCTTGCCAGAGTTTACCATAAGCCCTCAACCGAAAACTCTGTGTTCAGGCCACCCGCGGCAGGTAAAGCTCGCAAAGCTTGTGGAAGTTTTGCGGATCCAGCTCAGCATGGAAGCGCTAGAGAGAGTGACCTTAAACCCCGAACCCCTCAAGCTTAAACCCAAAACCCCTGAGCCCCTAAACTCTTAAGCCCCTGTACCCCTAAACCCCAAACCTCTAAACCTCTGAGCCCTAGACCCGTAACTGAACCCTACTCCACTCCTCGGCTCCCCGCTTGGATGACCCTCGACATGTCCCCAGGCAGTGCCCCAGCGGCTTGAGTGAGACGCTGAATCCTGGGGTCTAAGTAACCCTGAACCCGAAGCCTAATACTTTCTGCTTGGGGGGCTGTTAAATCGACAACTACTATTTACCTAGATTCCCAGGGCTCCGTCCAAACATGTTTCTCCTGTGTCTCTAGATGCACGCGGGCTTCCCTCTGCTCAAGTGCAAGCCAGTAGACCTATACTGACTGGTTGACCGTGAAGAACACAGAAACTGGACCCTTGTAGTTTGAATTACATTTCCATGTCCATTTGCTGTTTCACTGCGTCATTCCCCACTAACAGCCAGAAACCCTATATCCCCAGAACACCCAGTTTCCAAGTCATTCCGGTTTGCTTTTCCAATCAACCATTATAACCCTGACCCCTGAACCCTACACCCTGAACCCTATACAATCCTTGCATCGCCCCTATAACGCCTTTTCTAGCAGAGCCTAAACTCAAGCCCGGAACCAAAAACCCTAAACCAGCAAGTATATCCTCAGCATGCATTCCAGGGGATCCATGATTGGATTCCTTGGGGGGAGCAGCTCGCGCCAAGCATCCTTTAGATGGACTGGGAAGGGACCCTTGTAAGGGACCTCAAAGGTCTCCCCTCCCCCCACCCAAGCCGACATGGAATTAACAGGTTATCATGAGATACCATGTTAGGCTGTGTGCGGCGGAGGTGGGTAGGCTACAGTGTGTCATTGCCTGTGCAGCTGTTACATGGAGAACTACATAGGGGCTACCTGAGGTAGAAGTGTTTCGCAGGTCCCTCACAGGGGTCCACCCCTCCCTGACGTCCTAGTAACCTAGCACCAGACTGCCTGCGAGGT